CTGTACATCATGGTTGGGCTTACAGAAAACAAAAGCTGTTTTTCATATTTCCCTTAGGAGGATTAAACATTTTTACAAGAAAATATTTTTGAATAATTTTATTTAAAAATAGATTCAAAATTCATGTTGCATTAAAGTATCCAATAGCTTTCATTCCACTTTATAAAAAGTGATAAAAGTTTAAAATGTACTTTGTGATAAAACTTAATTCTCAACTAAGTACTCTATTTCAGAAGAAATTTTCCATTTAATTCCTTGACCATGGTAATCATTTAGAAATTGTGGCTACATATGATTATTGAATTATGGTCATTACAAAGCAATAGAAACCAACTTTCATGTCATAGTTCACTTTAAGTAATAGAAAAGCATTTTAAAGAACAAAATAGCAAATTTGAATAGCCCCTCTAGAGTTTAGAGGGGCTAAATGCCTCTGTAGCAGAAGGTATGTCTTTCAGATGTTGAGGGTAGGTTGATATTTTTGAATAAATCAAGAGGAGACAAAAACACAAAGTGGCAGGAAAATAAATCATGACCCTAGTGAATATTCAAGCATTTCCTATGTTAAAAATGTGAACATACATATTTTAGTTCAAGCTGGTGCTTCAATAATTTTTTGTGCAAGAAACATTCCTTCTGAAGAATAAAAATGTAGAAATTAAGTACTGACATTCTACAGAAGTTGAATAATTTTACTAATCCAAGCCAAAAAGCCCAGCTAGCCTGAGAAGGGGGATATCTAGGTATCCAGGCAGAGGAAATGTGGAGATGGAGAGAAGATAAGGGGAGAAGAGGGAAGGGGAGGTCAGAAAAGAGGAGACCAGGAGAGAGAAGGGGAAGGGTGGTGATATGGTTTGGCTCTGTGTCCCCAACCAAATCTCATATCGAATTGTAATCTTCATGTGTTGCAGGAGTGGCCTGGTTGGAGGTGATTGAATCATGGGAGTGAACTTCCCCCTTCCTGTTCTTGTGATAGAGTTCTCAAGAGATCTGGTTGTTTGATAAATGTAAGGTGCTTCACCCTTCTCTTTGTATCCTGCTTCCCATAGTAAGATGTTCTTGCTTTCCCTTTGTCTTCTGTGATGATTGTACATTTCCTGAGGCCTCCCCAGCCATATGGAAATGTGGGTCAATTAAACCTATTTTTTTCATAAATTACCCAGTCTCAGGTAGTTCTTTATAGCAGTGTGAGAACAAACTATTACAGGAGGACAGAGAGATGAGAGGATAGAAGGATATGGGAGAGGAGAGAAGGGGAGAGGGAGGGATGGGAGGCAAGAGGAGGAGGAATTAGAGGAAGAAGAGCCAGGAAACAGGAGGCCACAGGAGGGAATGGAAGGGGAAAAGAGGGGAGAGGAGGCCAACACAGAGGAGGAGAAGGGATGCCAGGAGAATGGAGCCCAGGGGAAGGGAGACCAGGAGGTAAGGCTTGCTTATCTATGAGAAGGACCTTAAACCTAATCCTGAAAATTCATGGAAGAGCAATTGGAAACATTTCAACAAAGATGAAGTCAAATTAAAACATAAAAATATACCTTTAGTTGTTGAGTATAGAACCATTTTGAAAAGCAGAGAAGTTGGAAATCTATTTCAGTAATCTAAGAATGATATGATAGTATTTGGAGTAAAGTGGAAGAGATGGAGAAATGTGAATGTAATAAAAAATTTTTAGAAGTTAAAATGAGCAAGGCTTTATAATTGACTGGATATAGATGATGATGAAGAATGATTAGTAAGGGAAGTCTTAAATCTCTGGCTTACACAAACTGAAAGGATAGCGGTGACTTTTATTAGTAGGAAAAAATTAGGAAAGTGGAATCAGTTTTCTATAGAATGAGATGTATAAAAGGCTTTCCCTAAACTCCTTGAAACAGCAAAATTTATGCTTTGTTTTTAGAAAACAGAACAACTATTTACTCTAATTTCTAGGAAAGAGGAGAGAAACATTTCTTCAATCTTTTTTTGAATTGGAGGAATTTTCTAGCTGTACAAATTATTGTTTTGAAATTAATCACTTTTTTCCTAGACTTTTCTCTTAGAGGATTTGAACACTGTTAGCCAGAAATATTTATTCAATTTAGAGCATCTCTCTCAATAAATCAGCCACTTAAATAAAAATAATTGGTTTCATCAAGAAACAATATGAAGAAAACTGGGTAATTAACATTTCTTCCTTCATAGAAACATTATTATAGGACTTTGGACAAGAAATGCGGGTTAGTTCTTCATTCATTGGTCAGTTACATTCAGACATTAACTAACACCATCATGTATAATCATATTATTTTCAAAGTATAATTAAAGATTAAATTATAGCGATTTTCTATATTGAAACATTTCTTTTTTTTTTTTTTTTTTTTTTTTTTTGAGATGGAGTTTCGCTCTTGTTACCCAGGCTGGAGTGCAATGGCGCGATCTCGGCTCACCGCAAGCTCCGCCTCCTGGGTTCAGGCAATTCTCCTGCCTCAGCCTCCTGAGTAGCTGGGATTACAGGCACACACCACCATGCCCAGCTAATTTTTTGTATTTTTAGTAGAGACGGGGTTTCACCATGTTGACCAGGATGGTCTCGATCTCTTGACCTCGTGATCCACCCGCCTCGGCCTCCCAAAGTGCTGGGATTACAGGCTTGAGCCACCGCGCCCGGCTGAAACATTTCTTTTGATTTACTAAACGTTTCTAAAAACAGGGCAATAAATGATAAGGTGAATGTCATATTACAGAAGCTACTTTCTTAATGTTTAGAAATGATATCAATAAGAATATCTGTGTTTTAAAAAATGTAAGTAGTCCCAGAAGTGTTTTAAGTATGAATAATAGCAATGAGCATGTTTCCTAGCATATTCCATCTGCAATGAAAACAAGCTGAAAAGAAAAAAAAATCCAATGTATTTATATTTAAAGGACAAACATGAACTTCAATAAGGAAAATGAATACTCCAGAAATATTAGAATAGATTTTTTTCTTCCGATACACACCTATTTCACTGGCAAAGTTTTTGATCCACTAGTATTTGCCAGCAAAAATTATTTTCAATGCAAGACTGTCTTGCATTGTAACCTAAGGAGTTCTTTATTATTCTGTATTAAAGCAGGATATTATAATATTTCTTGTAAGTTTATATAATCATACACCAATAAGCATGCTTTTTTTATTTGCTGGTTCTGAAGTTTTAAATTATTAAAAGCTAAATTTTCTTTGAGCACAGTTCTAAAGTAGTACAAGTAACTGATCACTTTCAAATCATTCTCTCACTTTTTCCTTTGTTTCTTTGATTTACACACATACATACACAGAGACAACAAATATATTTTCATCTCCAACAAATCTGAGAATTTCATATTGATGGAATAAGATTCACTTGTTATGGCCCAATGGACATACATTAACTGCACATATATGCATTGGGGCAATTGTAAACTGCATTTTAATCAAATTATAGTATTGGTTCTCTCTAGATTTCTTCGTCGAATGCCTTCTATGTCCTAGTCACTGTGAAGACAAAGACAAATAAGATACAAGTTATTTCCTAAGAAGTTTATAGACTGATATGGAAACACATATATTAAAATTATTATTTAATGCCATAGATACCAAATAAAGTCATTAACCAGGGCATGGGAACACAGATGAAAATGGAACAAACTGACCAGGAAGTATGGTATAGACTAATCATTTCTCTCATACTTTCACCTTCATTTACACACACTCACAAACACACTGAAATCTCTTGATTTTCAAATAGTTTTGCACCCACTTTTTTCCATCTTTCTATATATATAAGATCTATGTGTTTTTTTTAAAACTCTAGATTGTGCGCTTCATGTACTGTAACGGTAAGCTAAGAGTTGATGACAGGGCTAGGGGAGAACAGCAGAGCAGCTTGCCTCTGTATGGAGTCTGTAAAATGTGCATTTTATTTGGACAGCAACCAAGGAAAAATCAGTTTGAGTTCTTTATTTCAATGTATCAATTCATTTTCCCCATAGCTTTAGATAATTTGGAAGAAGGATTGCTCACATTCCCATATTTCATTGTTTGTTTTATCTTTAAGTGTTTTGCTTTCCAAATTTTATCAATCCTAATTTCATTGTAGCAGATTTTTTATTGTCCAAAGGAGAAGTAGAAAATAGAATAAATTGTTCAAAGAATTGATTTTTGTGATAATACCCTCTACCTCCGCTGCAGATTTGGTATTAGTAATCAGAAAAGTGTGAACATTGGTTTTAGACTCTGTATTTTAACTTCAGCCACAAATTCATTATGTATACAAAGGGAATTTCATAAAGTAATAATGATTATTTATTGAACATCTACATTGTGCCTAGGGTATCTGGATGTGCAATAAATGCTATGATTTATTGTTGGAATAACAATAAATCACTCCAATTTATGGTTTAAACTGAGTCTCGGTAAAGTTAATTTCCCCAAGATCTCATACCTGTTCAAAAGTTAAATGAAGTCACTTTTCACTAAGTCTCTTCTTCTTACTTCCTTTTCCCTTTTTAAGAGAACAAAAAGTCTTGCAGAAAATTTCTCTTAAAAAGCTATTGACTATTTTAAAATCAGTAATAATGTCTAAAAGCAGCATTAAATAAGGTAATGATCAGTTTGTCTGCCATAGTGTATAATAAAACAGGAAACAAAATGTTTTCATAGTCCAGCTAACTTCTGCTATGACTTACACAGCATACTCTTGTGTGCTCCATTGTTTTACGTTGTGAGAGAAAGAAAACAGTGAGTTGTGTTCAAGCCAGAGGAGTCCCGAGGTGGTCAGACTAAAAGTTATGCTATTTTCCATTATTTTTTTTCACTATTATGAAAATCCACTGTTATAAAATGTTACATGCATTTTTATATTTTGTTCAATTTATTGTTACTTTTATAAAACACTTGATTCACATGATTACATATGCCTGAGAATTCTTTAGTATGTATTAGTAATAGTACGTATTATTTGAAAGCATAAAATAAATTTGAATATGGGTTTGTTTTCTAGATTTTATACAGCAGAACTCAGTGGGACACTTGGGAGTCTGAGGTAAGATTTTTATGTTGCCAAAGAGTGTTCAAAATTTAAAAGTAAATTTGGCTTTCATAAACATAACGAACAAAAGGAACTCAACATTTGAATTTAGCCTTCTTCCAAAATATGCTGTCATTTTTGCATTTTCCATTTTAACATTTAGACAGCAAAATAATTATCTTGGTTCTGTTTTTATGTGTCTCAACTTTTTGCAAATGGAAATATATTCAAAGAAGATGAAGGAAGTGGTTGGGCTTTTTCTGTAAGTTCAATTATCTTTGTGTTATTGCTCACTATTCTAAAGCAGGCCCAGAGAATCTTTTTAGTTATCTATTTAGATTGAACATTTTTATAAATGCAAAAAAGATAACTGTGAATGAAGATGTTGTTAAGCAAATGTTCACAGTCATGTGTGTGGGTGTGTAGTGGTAAACACAGGAAAACTGATTACTTGGTCATGAGACTTGCTAAAGGCTTTCCAGATCATCTGCTCATGAGAATGACTCATGCCTCATTCTTATTAAGAGAAAGGATATCTGATGATGAAATTCTGCTTATCTAAACATACCTGTTTTAATGAATGTTAATTTTATTAGACAAGGAAATACAGATAATTTAATTTGTGTGGTCAGATAATTAAAGGATGAATCTACTATTATTTTGAATATGTTCCTTGTAGTAAAGAGACATGACTAGAAGGAAAGCTAAAATTTTCATTATATATGTTATATATACACATTTCATTACTTTTTTATATTTTAAGTCCATTCAAAATCTCCATATTAAACTAAATTATTTTACAACAACAAATTGAGACTCATTGATTTGTGCAAAGTATTTTCTTTTGAAGGAACATGTCTCCCTTCCAACATAGCTGATTGATCTACAACTTGCCGAGAACTGTGAATTACAGGCCCTTTGCTGCCTCTGTGGTCTGTTAGCACTTCCAGAGGAGAACACATTACTATATTGTGTGAATATTCTGTTTATCATGTCTATTCTCCTGCTTAATCTGAAAGCTACTTGACAGCTAGAAATCTGGAAAGATGTAGTATTTGTAAGGATACTGTTTAACAATCGGCTGCTTTCTGATTATTTAAATGAGATTAAAGTTAATAAATTTAAACATGTGCAGCTCAATGAATTTTTAAAAAGAATACACCCATGTAGCCAATACCCATATCAAGTAATGGAATGTTGCTGGCGTTCTGGAAGCCTCCTTCATGCCTTCTTACTGTCTTTACCACTCCAACTAAAGGTAAACACTATTCTGAGTTTGCATGAGTAGCTTTTCCTTTTTTGAACTTGTTATAATTGGGATTATGCAGTATGCATTATTTTGTGCAAGTTTCTTTTACTTTGCATTTTGTTTGTGAGATTCCTCCATCTGTAGCAATAGTTCATCTATTTTTATTGTTACATAGTAACTATGGTAAAATTTATGCATCTATTTTTAGTTTGTAGACAAAGATACATTCAGTTTAGAGCAATTAGGAATAATGTTGCTATGACAATTCTTATGAGTTGTGGGTTTCCATTGCAGTTTTAATTTGCACTTCCTTGGTAACAAATAATATAAGAACTATCCATGTGATTATTGCCTATATGCGTATTTTCTTTCATGAAGTACATCTTTACGTTTTTAGCATGTTTTTTAAAAATCATATGATTGACTTCTTCTCGTCAGTTTGTGACTTTACGAGTCCTCCATGGATAGATGTACGTGTAATGCATTCTTCCATGCTATTATTTGCCTTTGCATTCTGTTGATGATGTCTTTCTTCTCATGAACAGAAATTCATAGGTTTAATAAAGTTCTCTTTATAAATATTTTTACTTTATGGTTAATGCTTGATATCTTGTTTAGAAAAATCTTTGTTAACTGCAATATCATGAATGATTTTTCTTATGTGATTTCCAGGATCATTATTGTTTTGTTTTACACTTTTAGAGAGCCCTGTATTGGAAACTGATTTTTTTATAATCGGTGATGTAGCTGTTAGTTCCATATGGACATGATTGAGCTAGTACCTTTTGTTGAAAAAGGGAAAAATAATTTCACATAATGGATTGCCATAAATTAGGTCCACAGAGATGTGGATCCATGTTAGGACTCTGAATTCTCTTTCATTTGTTTATTTGTCTCTCTTTGAGCCAGTGACTCCTTGTCTTAATTTCTGTAGCTTTCTATCATATTCATATCCAATAATATAATTCTCTAAATTTGCTCTTTTTTTAAAAAAGTTTTGGCTTTCTTTGACTTTTTCTATTTTCAAATTGATGTTTGTATCAACTTCTCAACTTCCAGAAAATAAACTTTGTGAAGTTTTGACTGGAATTATTGAAATACATAGATTGATTTGGGCATAAATGTTATCCTCACAATTTTAAGCTTTCTAGTCCATAAACAGACATAATATATTCCTTCACTTATTTATATATTCTTTAGTTTCTCTTATGAGTGTATTGTCGTTTATAGGATGTAAGCTTATCTATCTTCTATCTCTAGCTACCTAATGCATATGATGCTAAAATAGAATTGTATTAATTATTAAAATTTGATATTTGATGTCTAAATGTTTGTTTCTAAAATGTAGAAATACACATAATTGTGTATATTGACTTTAGCTTAGTAACTACTAAAATCACTTACTAGTTTTAATAGTTTGCAATTCTTGTTTTGAATTTCTACTTACACAATCATATTGTACAAAAGTTTTATTTTATTTTCACTTCTATTTAATTTTATTTCCTTTCCTCAACATACTAATGGCTAGACCTCTCATTTTATATAATGCTGAACAGTAGTGGCATTAGGAGACACCTCCTTTTCATACTATTTTCAGGCGAAAGCTATCAATAATTCAAAATTGAAGATGAATACTTCAGGTTTTCTGCAGTAAACTGTTATCATATCCAGTACATTCCCTTCTATTTTTAGCTGGTTATTTTTTTCAAATTGTAAACTGGTGGTGAATTTTATCAAATGCATTTTATTCATGTATTGGGGTGTTTCCACTTTACTTTGTAATATGGTTTATTAAGTGAATCACAATGATTGGTAATCAAATGATAAATCAAAGGTGTATTTCTGAAGCATATTCAACATCGTGATGTATTAATTGTTTTAAACACCAGATTTCTCTTGCTAGCATTTCTGTTAGGGCTTTTATGTTAGTTTGAGAAATTTGCCATTAAATCCTGGTAAGGGCTTGGTATCAAGGTTTTATTGACGTCATAAAATGAGTTGGCGTGCGTTAACTCTTTTTTTCTTATCTGAAAAAGTTTGTGAAAATTGATATCATTTCTTCCTTGGAAAGAAAACTTATTCTTTCTGAATTCTTCATAAATAATCTTTGCTAGATTCTTTTATTTTAAATATCTCTCATTCATTCATGTTTTTATTTTTTCATTCATACAATAAATATTTACTTAATGTTCACTCTAACAGACATTGTGCTAGCCCTGCAGATGGAAAGGTGAGCCACACTAGCACAGATATTACCCGCATTGAGCTCACAGTGCAGCTGGTGTGGAAGATAGAGTAATCAAATAATTTAAAAGCATGGACCAAACTCTGTTAAACATGTATGCAGTATGGATACTAGTGCTTAGAGATCACAGCAGGGACACCTAACCTAAGACATGATTATGAAGCTAATCATGATTATGAAGACATGATTATGAACCTTCCTAAGGTTCCTTAGGAAGCTAATAGTCAGAAATAGATAGACTACCTCATTTCCTTTTTCTTATTTGAACTTATATCTAATTCATGTGGTTAGAATGTTCTAAATAAGGATAATTGGCTTCCCAGTGTGGTTCAGCTTCTATGTTATGTAGAGGATGTCCCAAAGTACTGGAGTTTGGTGATACAAAAGCAAATTTATGTTCTTCACACTATACAAAGATTTGGCACAAATACTACTTTCAGAAAAGAAAAACACTAAAAATAAATTAGCCTCACTGGTCCTTAATAGCAATACCTAAAAATAAATACTTGCTGCTTGTCTTAAATTTAGTGCAATCATTTATTCTCATCATTTTCTACTTTCTGGCAAAATATGCAACTTGCATTTTCCAGGATGCTATATTTTATACACTTTACAAAATTAGTTAATTTTATAAATATAACATCTTTATTAATATTGTACAGTTTGGAGGCACTGTACAATCTCTTTCCCAATTATTTAATTAGGCTCAAATACAGTATGTAAATGACACGGAGAGAAAACAAATTTTGAGGCCTCAAAATTCTTGTCTGTAATGAAAAATGCAGAGTTTCGTCCTGTCTGGAAAGTTAGCTCATGCACTGCAAAACCATGCCAAATACAGGCAGAAGAATAATAAACCCAGTATGTTACAAAGTTCTTTCTTTTCCTTCTTTTCTCCTTCTTCTTTCTTCCTTCCAACTGAATATATATATATATTATATATATGTGTATTTTATATATTATATCTATATTATATATCTATATATAATATAGATATATATATGTTTTCTAGGGAGAAAATCACTAGGAGTTCATTAGTAACTGAAACAATTTCCTTTCCATTTTAAAACATATAATAACATTTTGAGTAAGCTATATATGCACCATTTAATATAATTGTTAATATAATTGTAGAGAAAAATAAAATAAAATATCCCCAAATAATTTTAAAACTCCCCTAGGAAAGAGCCAAGAGTTTTAAGGTCACAGGTGTTTCAAGATTTGTATTCTTCTATTTGGGATATGATGAGTTTAAAGGATTTACTAAATGTGCTAGGTCAAATATCACTTTGTTCTAGAAGCTTGTAAAATTATAAATTGGAATACTTTCAAAAAATTATGAAAACTACTGTATTTTCTGATAATTGAGTTTTTTTAATTGTTTAAACTGAAATATTGACTGGGCCTGGTGGCTCACTCCTGTAATCCCTGCACTTTGGGAGGCCAAGGCCGGTGGATGATGAGGTCAGGGGTTCAAGATGAGTAGTGAAACCCTAACTCTACTAAAATTACAAAAACTAG